AATGAGAAAGCTAATCTTGTGAGAGGAGGGAAGTACCTATCGGAAATACATTTTCATTTATGAAAATTATAACTTTCAAAATTACCTTTGTTAAATCAAGTTTTGTCAAATGTGAATTTTATATTATTAACCAATGCAGCTAACAGTCAACCTCTCATTTTTGATGAAGAATCTCAAATGTCTGTAATACAAAGTGTTTACTAATATTGAAATCATTAGTCTGAAACAGTACATGTTTTTGTTGCACATTTCGTTTGGTGGGTGGATGTGTATTACAATGGAATGCCTTGACTTCATGAAACTATTACTTTTACTTGTAAAAAGGGGATAATATACTGTTTGTGGCCTGAATAAATATAAGTATTGCACTAATACTGTGGTAATTTGAGTTTGATAGGAATAACCTTAACAGTTTTATGAAAAATTTACGAGTCTCTTAAGCCATCCAAGCAGTGTGCTGTTGCTAGTGGTAGGACAAATAGGATTTTAGGTTGTATGTACAGAAATATTGAATACAAGTCTAAAGAGGATATAATTTCATTGTATAGGTCACTGGTTAGGCCACATTTGGAGTATTGTGTTCAGTCTTGGACTCCTTTACCTTAGGAAGGACATTCAATTATTGGAAAGGGTTCAGAGAAGGGTTACTAGAATGATGCCTGGGATGAAGGGGTTATTGTATGAGGAGAGGTTAACATTTCTGAAATTGTTTTCTCTTGAAAAAAGAAGAGTTAGAGGTGATCTGATTGAGGTGTTTAAGATTGTCAAAGGAATTGATAGTGTTGGTGCATCATCTTTTTTCATACTTAATAGTGAGAACGGTAGGACTAGGGGATACAAATATAAATTTTGGCAGGGTAGGAATCTTCAACTAAGACAGTTTTATTTTTCCAACAGGGTGGTTGGCTTTTGAAACAGCTTGCCTTCAGATGTTGTGGAAGCAGTAAATTTAAGTGAGTTTAAGACAAAGCCTGATAACTGTATGCATGATAAGGGCTGGCTTTGAGGTGTTTTTTTATTTAATAGTTTTAGTTTAGTTTAGAGGATGGGATAGCCTAGATGGACCAACAGTTGTTCCTAAACATTATGTTATGTTAGTTCAAGTGTACAGCTATTCACTCCTATTCACAAGAATGTTGGCCAAAATTAGAACATGTACACATTTTTTAAAATTTTATTTAGATATACATGAATAAACATATGTTTTTCTCACTTATAGAAAGGTAAAAATACAACAGTTTTTCCAACTGCTTCAGTTTCATACAAGTCAAGTAATCATGTGCAAGTAGGTGCACATTATTTAAAAATAATTTCTCTAATAATCCACCAAGTTTTGATCCTTCAAAACATGATGTGGGTCTTCTTTCAGTGAAAGCCAAAGAGTGAACAATATGTTTAAAGTAGAAATTAAAATTTTTATTGGACAGTTTCACATGAGAAAAGTCTGTAGATTACACCTTTTGGAACTTCTGTCTACCTTCTTTAAAGAATTGAAAACGTTTACAAAGAAATAACCAAAATATTGTTCCTGGTTTGTCCCAAGGTAGTAATGACTGTTAATAAAATGTAACTTTGCCTTAAACACCACTTTAAGAAACATTAAAACAAAAATATTTAATGCTGTAAACATGAAAGTTTATGCATCGAAAAAAAAACAACAAAAAATGAAGTTAGACATATCCAATGATCAGAAGTGATATAACAAATGTAAAGTATAAATTTAGGAACTAAAATTCAGATTTGTCTCTGTCTGGCCATTACATTCTATCTAAAACAATTCTACTCTAAAAACAAAATACAAGAATAGAATGGTCATATCAAACAATTTTCCTGGATTTGACAGTAGGAAGAAATGTGTGACAGTCAGAAACCATCTGGACCTTCTTTGATGGGTTTATTTTATAATAGTGTTCTCAGTTTCATTTTTTATTAGGAACAAGTAAACCAGGGTAAAGCTTTCAATTATTGTTGTATGGGTTGCACAATGAAATGAAAATGGACTGATTGCTGTAATCAAAGTATAGTTTTAACCATATAGGTGATGAGAACAATGTAATAAACTGAAAAATAAAATTGTTTTTGACATATCTGGTATCTTATAATAAAAGAATAAACATTGAGTTTTACAGACTAAAAATATTCAACAATCTAGTTTCTCTTTAAGTGAAACCACAAAGTCTCGTAAGTTGAGAAAGGACTACAGTTTGTACTAAAAATTCTCTTGTCTAAGTAGGTGTCACCATCTCTGATCAAAGGTCAACAGATATGCTTTATTGCTGTATTAATGCATTAATATAGATTTGAAGACCAATTTTTATTTCCGAGTGTTACATGTTTGTTACTCGTATTTCAGTGCCCATGCAATTACAGCAGATGTAGATGTTGTTGGAACTGCAAAAGCTGCAGAATACTTTCTAAGTGATGGAATCATCATTACTGGCCAAGCAACAGCAGATCCTCCTTCAGTTAAAGAATATCATAGTAAGCTCTTTCTTTTTTGTTTTGGATATAGTATTGTCTTTTTTTTTTTCAAAGGACAGAAAATGATAAGGTAAAGGGACAGGATCTTCTTGACTGTGTAGTAACTATTTGCTGAACTCTTGTTGTCCAAATTAAGTCATCAAATTTTTTAATTCCAATTTTTTTATTCTTAGCCAAAACTTCCAAGATTTTATCAATATTTTGACTATTGTAGAGCAAGATCTGTCCAACTGGAAGCACTTACTAAAATCACTGCCAAATACAATACTTTTATTTCCAAACAGTTCATTTTCTGTAGTGACATCTCTAAGTAGTCCACCCAAGACATCTAAGGGAATGCTTTCTTCCATTGGTGATTCATCCTATAAAATAAGAGAAGTATTTCTCACTAATTATTATTATTTCCTGTTTGTTATAATGCCTGAAACAGTATTTTCTAGAAGAGGCACTGGAAATTTAAATGTGGAGTGAGCTATTCTACCTCCTAATAGTAAATTGACAGTAATTCCAGTCCAGGCAACTGGTAAATTTAAATGTGGAGTGAGCTATTCTACCTCCTAATAGTAAATTGACAGTAATTCCAGTCCAGGCAACTGGTAAATTTCTTTTTGCTATCCATTTAATTTATGCATTAAGTACTTGTAAAGGTTTGTTTTCCTAGTTTCTCTTGGTTCACATATAAAAATTGTCTTGGAATAATTCTCTCTATTTATAGTAGATATAATGTTGTTCACTATAATTAGTTGTTCTTCATTCAGGTTATTCTAATATTCTTTTCCCAAAATAATTTCTTCGACTGTATCTTCTTTGTGAAATATAAGTTTTCTGTACAGAAATGGAATCTTTTAGTCACTCCATTGTTTACCATGTTGCATCATTATGTTTTCTAAATTAATTAAGCAAAGATTTTTGGAAGTGATTAAGTAATGTCTGTGAATGAGGTTTTTGATAAGATAATTTTTAAATTTGTCTCAAAGTTTTTGGATTTTCTAGATTACAGAAAACATACATAAGTCAAAACTTATTTGAGTTTTTGTGGCACCTTAAAAGCTGCAGCTTCCCCAAAACATCTTAATTTCCCATTCTGCATCATCTTCAAGAAGATTTAATTCTCTATTTACCTCTTTTAAAGTAGAAAAATCCTTCAATTAACAGTCTTCAAATCTTTGAATGAAACAGGTCCTTTCACATATAACAAAAGCAATCTCAGATAATATAATTCCTGTTGTGAGGGACTTACAGCAAATAGGCAACCAATGATGGTTTCTGCACTTTGTTTTTATTGCTTCCAAGCCTTAATGCATTTTTTCCCACATGTAGTAATTCAGCATATCTATATATGAGACTTCTTTATTGAAAGATCTTTTTGATGTAGCTTAAACCATGTGATTAACGTTGCTCCCTGCTTAGAGTCTTTCACCAGTGCTTGCTCTTCTTGCCCATCAACAAAAAATAATTGTTGTTCCATTGGTAAATGCACAGCTAATGTGATTGGCCATGCATTTCAAATTAAAAAAAGACACAAAGCACCTTCTGGTGCACTAACAAATCTTGAATCCAAAAATATGTATCTTTCATTCCATTCAAACTTTCTGATTGGATTTCTTGTTTAATTTGAATGTTTGTACAATCCTAACTCTTTTAAACATATTTAAAAAGATACTTTATAGCATTAACACTTGAACAAACTTCAACACTGATATATGGGTACTATATTTTAGGCATAAAAATGGTGTTGTATGGCACAACCCAGTGATTATATATTTCTAAGTTTTTTAACTCTGACTTTAATTTGACTTCTTTTTCCATCATTCCTTATTTTGGTTGAAGGATATCCATTTACATTTGTAACCGTGTTTCTGCTTGACACTTGGGAAATTTTTGGTATTTTTTCATTATCCATACATACTGAGAATGGATTTATTTCACAACATGGACCACGTATCATACATGATTTTACTATATCAAATAAATATGCATTAATTGTTACATCAGGCATTTACCATTTTATAGCTGACTTACTCATCATATGGTTTATATTCATTATTGAGTATTATGAGTGTATGTACATGAGGTATGCCTATTTTCTAAAACTCTATTATATAAACATAAGCTAAAATTCTTTATAAATATATGTCCATTTAACAAATCTCTTGACAGTTTGATGTCTGGTCTGTTTTGTACTCTTTATTAAGCTTTTAGGTCATCTACAATTTCTATTCACTTAGAGTTGCATGCAAATATGATAAAAAGAGTGGGTTTTACAAATTTTCCAACAATTGCCATTGCATCTTGGATATCACATGAACTACCTATGAAAGTAGAAGGCCAATGGAAATGTTGTTGTATATCATGTGAACTACCTATGAAAGTAGAAGGCCAATGGAAATGTTGTTGTATATTATGTGAACTACCTATGAAAGTAGAAGGCCAATGGAAATGTTTTATATTACATGAACAATCTATGGAAGTAGAAGGCAAATGGAAATATTGTTGTATATTATGTGAACTACCTATGAAAGTAGAAGGCCAATGGAAATGTTTTATATTACATGAACAACCTATGGAAATATTGTTGTATATTATGTGAACTACCTATAAAAGTAGAAGGCCAATGGAAATGTTGTTGTATATCATGTGAACTACCTATGAAAGTAGAAGGTAAATGGAAATGTTGTTGTATATTAGGTGAACTACCTATGAAAGTAGAAGGCCAATGGAAATGTTGTTGTATATTAG